AATAGATCCGATTTGGCATCAGCTTAGTACAACGACCAAACAGTTGTTTTCTGACTTAAAAACATTACGTTCCCTTATTATGTCTTTAACGTACGAAGATTCTGTTTCATTTTATGCCATGCTAAATCGTTTACGAACTATGGAATATGCTATGAAAGCCGGTGGTTGGATAATGTTGGATGAATTCGAGAATCTGTTTAAGTATGCCAGAAGCAGAGTTTATACAGAAAAAAATGAACTAAAACCAGAACCAAACCCAAAATGGGAAGCTTTATCAGAGGTCTTGTTTGAGATTCAAGAACAGAAACATAAGAAAAAAGATTATGAAAATATTGATAAAGTTCTTATCTTGGTACACGATAATCATATATGTCGCCAATTAAAGAATTACTTAACTATGGGTGCAAATGAATACTTACTTTATGAAGCTCTGAAAAAATTATCACATAATAAAGAACAAAAGACAAGTGACGATAGTGGAAAGAAAACGAAAGATCAGCCATCAACATCTGAAAGTAACACAGATGAAGAAACGGAAAACACTCAAGATACTTATGTGCTCACTTTGTCACAAAAATGCGTAGAAGGAACTCAATCTACTTCTACAGAAGATATAAAACATCAGACATTGTTTGAAGAATGTTCGCAAGTAAGTTACATATTACAACATTTAGAAAATATTTGTCTATTAAAGAAAATGCTTTTTTATTAATTTTGTTCTCTGATTTTAAAGCTTGCAGAATTGGATTTAACTAAAGAACATTATGCAGCATCTGTACCTATCGTTTTCATACAAGCCATAAAAAAAGGAGGAGATCCAATGGCCTTACAACGAATGTTAACCGAGCATATCCCAAACAATATTATTTTGTATGCAAACGATATCGGTATTGTGAGGCAATTAGAGATATATCAAAATAATAATCTGTCATTAGATTTGAAAGTGTATTTTTTAATTTATGGTGGGTCGATTGAGGAACAAGAATATCTTACTTCTTTACGACGAGAAAAGGAAGCATTTGAGTCTTTGATTACTACGAAAATTGTGCATATTCCAATCATCTTACAAAAAACAATGTGCTATTGAACAAGTGTTACCGTATTATTAATAATTTTTATTATTTTGTAGACCATGGTTGTACCAGAAGATCAAGATGGAAAATCAGACGATTGTTTGGCTTTTGCAATTCAATCAGATGATGCGAATCAAGAAAATACGCGTAAAGGAGGGAAGCAATCTGAAGCCAAAATAATTCCAAAAGTTATTGTCGATATGAGAGAATTTAGAAGTGAATTGCCAGCTATTCTCTATACACGCGGTATAAAAATCGAACCAGTGACATTAGTGGTAAGTGAAATATATAAAAGTGTATTTTGATATAAAATATTGTTTCTACATGGTTTATACTGTTACAGGTCGGTGATTATATTTTAACACCAGAAATATGTATTGAGAGAAAAAGTATATCTGATTTAATTGGTTCTTTACTTTCCGGGAGATTGTATAATCAAGCAGTTTCTATGACAAGGCATTATGCTAAACCCATGCTTCTCATAGAATTTGATCAAAATAAACCATTCTGTTTTCAGGTATCTAATTTTATAAAAATAACCTAAAAATGTGTGTGTGTGTGTGTGCACAATTTTCTTCATATAATTATAAAGAATGTATGTACATATTTTTTTTGTTATATAATATATATCTATTGTTTTAGGGAAATTATTATGTTAGTAAAGATCTTAAAAGTAGTGATATAATGGCTAAACTGCAATTATTAACTCTTCATTTTCCTAAACTAAAAATTGTATGGTCTCCTTGTCCACATGGTACGGCGCAATTGTTTGAAGAATTAAAGGTAATATACACACACATATATATATATATATATATATACATACATATATATATAGTAACCCATGCTTCTCATAGAATTTGATCAAAATAAACCATTCTGTTTTCAGGTATCTAATTTTATAAAAATAACCTAAAAATGTGTGTGTGTGTGTGTGCACAATTTTCTTCATATAATTATAAAGAATGTATGTACATATTTTTTTTGTTATATAATATATATCTATTGTTTTAGGGAAATTATTATGTTAGTAAAGATCTTAAAAGTAGTGACATAATGGCAAAACTGCAATTATTAACTCTTCATTTTCCTAAACTAAAAATTGTATGGTCTCCTAGTCCACATGCTACAGCACAATTGTTTGAAGAATTAAAGGTAATATATACACACACACATATATATATATATATATATAGAGAGAGAGAGAGAGAGAGAGAGAGAGAGAGAGAGAGAGAGTAAAATGATTTTATGTGTCATATAAATAATTATATTATAGATACTAAAGTTATATGTTTGTAGCAAGGACGAGATCAGCCCGATTCAAATGTAGCTGCTAAAATCGGAGCAGATGAAGATACAGAAAACAAGCAAATATTAGTAGAAAAATATAATCCTCACATCCAAGATTTTATAGGTAAATTACCGGGTGTACATTCGAAAAATTTGCGTGTTCTATTAAATAAAGGGAAATCATTAGATCATCTTATCAAGCTATCACAAGTATGTAAAAACAACAATTAAAGAATTTAAATTCTTTATAATATATTTTTTCCTTATAATTTGTGTGTAAATAAAAATATTAAAAATTAATAATTTTTCTATAAATAGGAAGAACTAAAAGAAATACTTGGAAATAAAAATGATGCTGAATTATTATATAAAGCTCTACACGAGAAATGTTTAATAGATGAAGGTCCGGGAACTAGCAAAGTTTCTAAAGTACGTGGTAAGAGACTTTTCTCTAGAGTAAAAAAATAATGTAAAATATGTATCTTGATATTTTTAATACATTTAAAATGTTAATAAGAAAATATTATTACAATCTGATAAACATATTTTGTAAAATATAATTATATCATTATGTTATCTTTGATACAAGTAAGAAAATGTATATATAAAAAGCAATATAGATAAATTTATTAGATAATAACCACAAATGTACAAGATCTTAATACATAAAGATGTAATATTTATATTTCACAAAATGAGTCAACAAAAAATTTATTGATAGAATTTCGGATAAATTTATTTTCTATTATATTCGCAGAAAATTCTTTATAAATTACACCTGAAAATTGTTAATGCATTATTTGTTTCAATTTAATTGATAAATCTTTCTTTTCAATATTACTTACATTGCTTCAGTAAGATTTTCAACATCACTTTCTTCATCGCTGTTACTAGTTGCGTCAAGATTGTACAAAAATGAGTCATTTTCAGACATAGGAAAATAATATCTGAAATAAAATAATAAAACACTTATAACGTAATTTCTTTTTTTATGTAAATTGTATACATATAATTACAATCATATTTACTCTGGTTGATCCCAAACTTTTTGTATGGCAATTTTACAATGTTGTTGATTCTTCATATGTTCCAAGACATTGTCCGATTTTGTTTCGCAGAAGATACATCGTTGTAATTGAATTTGCCTTTTTATGTAATTGACTACTTTCACCTATAATTTTGATAATAATATATTATAGAAAAGGAGAGATATATATCGTTAAAAATATAAAAATAATTGCACAATTCTTTACTTTCTGGTAAAAGGTCAGATCTTTGACAGTTTCTTCAAAATCAAAACTATGTGCCTCTTTCATATGCGTCAGGATACAAGTAAATTCATTGTTGCTATAATTACAAAATAAACATGTAATTGTGACAGATTCATCATTCCAATCAGACCACGAACTTTCTTCATCCTCGTTTTCGCTACTGCCACCTCCTATGTCGGGTTTTGTTTTCAAATTAGCCTGTAGAAATAAAAAATTATATTTCTGAAGTATTAACATTTCTTATCTCAAATCGCACATTACCTGTTTTCGTTCCCAAGTCTTTTCTGGCTGTAGATAATTGTTTATATAAAATTTATCGTACTCTTTATTATGAGGATTTATACTTTTGTGAAATTTTTTTCGCATATGTTCCTTCAATACCATACGATCCTTAAATGTTCCCTCACAATAAATGCATATTAAACTGAAATGATTGAGGGATAATTATATAATTTCGTATAAATATTCTTATTATGTACATGTATATATCACATACTGGAATACATGTAGAATTTGGACATATATGTATATCAGTTTTTTAATGTAATACCTTTCGATATTGTTTTGAATTTTATCCAGAAGCTCATCCACGAACACTAAGTTTTCTGGCTTGCCAAGGTAAAGATTGTGCTTCTGGTACAAGTGTTTTATATACGCAGCACGTAATCCACAGATTTCAGTGCGGCAAAATATACAGCCGCGCTTAAAACTGGTATCTGCACGCTCAGCTTCTTGTTGCGCCAATGTCCATTCCTTAACATAGTAATTATAAATCATTACAAAAGATTATAAGAAAAATTACATTATTACATAACATTATCATAAAAATCGATTATTATAAACATTTTATTGTAAATTACATATAACTTTATTGACTTTATATTGACATACATACCAGTTTAGCTTGATGTATCTCGTCTCTCAAAGTCTTGTCCTCCGACAAACAATCAGAAAGCAGAAAGTAATGCTCATTTTTACTTGGCTGTCCATCCGGTGTGCAATCCATTAACATTGTACTACAATAGGTCGTCAATGGTGCTTCTTTAAACTTTATGCTCCAGTAATGTACATAACTGAAATTATCAGTATTATTATACTTTATTACAAAGAATACAAGCATAATAAAGGCAACAAAATATGTAATGATATTATCCTACCTTCTTAAATTAGCTATTTTCCAAACATCAGCTATAACGAGGCGATGCACTTTAAACACGTGCGTAAGAAGATCCATCTCATTCGTCGGAAGAACAAATGTGCAATCACACAATAAGCATTTCGTATCACATGGCTTATCATCCAAACCGACAAACTGTGACTTGTACATTGCGCGTAATTTGAATATAAGAGAAAGAGAGAACCCGTATTATAATTATTTATTTATTATTTATGTTTTATTCTTTTATTTTTTACGCACGTTTACTGTCGCAAATGTGGTCAGAAATCTTGCTACAATGCATTACATTTTAATATATTCAACACCGACTGAAACTTCTATCGAAGGATATTCGCATTCTATGATTTTGAGGCGAAAAATTTTGGCGAATTTACAATTAAATTATGATGGATTGTAAGCACTGTATAACAACAAGACCTGAAGCTCGAGCTGAACTGAAGCATAGCAGGCTGAGTCCATCAGCTGTTCCACGTTCCACGCTTTCACGATCGGATCATGCGCGAGCAGTATGGAGCAGTACGAGCACGCTGGAGACGAGTAGGTCGCTGTCAGTCGCTGTGCCCTTTGATTTCACTTTCATTAGAATGGAAATCCTTTGCGTAATCTGTCAAGACCAATTTTCATCATCCGACGACATCTTTTTCACTCGTTGCGGACATGTATTTCATCATCGTTGCCTGTTACAGTGGCTTGAAAAGTAAACATGATTTATTGGTTACGTTTCCACGCGAGGGATATGTATCGCAATAACATTAATTTCGATCGTTACCTTTTGTCTTCCTCTTCCTAAGAATGAAACGTATATCTCGTTTCATTTTAAATGCAAGGGCTGTGGGATAATGCACATAAAAGAAGTTCTTTATTTTGTCGTGAGATTTCTAATTTTATTTGTAAAAGAAACTCGATTAGATATTAACTATAATTTTATACGTATTTGTCCCATAGATCGAAGACCTGTCCACAATGTCGTAACAGAGTAACGATAGAGAAAATCCATAAGGCTCATTTTACAGTTTCAAATACCGAGATTGCAGCAAATAATGTAAACAATTCAACCTTGCAAGGGAAAATAGACAGTTTGCAGTTTCAAATTTTACTAAATGAAAAGAATATCAAGTATTACACTTCGAAAAATACAGTTCTGGAGAAACAGAATGCTGGCCTTAGACAGGAAGTGCGAAAAGTGGAAAGCGAAATGAGGCAGAAAAACTCAACCATCTATGATTTAAAAGAAAAGATAAACTATTTCCGGGCGAACTATCAAGAGCGTGATGTTCTCAAAAGAAAGCTGTCTCAGAAAGAAAGAGAGGTGGAGCAATTCCGAGAGTATGTTTGTCTATGTCAATCATCTTGTCTAATTTAATTATTGGCAGCATATTGCTCGAACTGATCTTTATTGTATCTGTTTGTAGCATGTATAAAACACTGTCAACGGGTACACTTGAGGACGTACAGGAAATGATTGGAAAAACAACTGATCGTAATACTTTGATTAATTATATTTCTATGATGAAAAAGTATGTTTTCATATATCTTGATATATCTTAATATGTCTTTATATACTTTAATTTTAATATCTTACAATTCACTTATAATTTCAGGCTAATGTTAAAGAAAACGGAAAAAATAGTTAATCTTGAAAATCAACTTACATTGCATCAGCAGTCCTTAGACAAGTAATCTAAGAGCTTATATTTTCAATACTAAAATAGTTAAATATAAAAAAATATTTAAAAAATATATTTATAATAATATAAATATAATGTTATTATCTTTCTACTATATTATTTCTGTTTTCAGAGATTTGAATTTCGCATTATGCGAAAGTGAAAATCTAGCCCTACGACATCGAGTTAATGAACTAGAAAAACTGCTTACATCTGATCAAAACTATATTTCCAGATCTAACAATCGAAGATGCTCCAATTCTTTGATTACGATAAAACCGGTAAATATTTATAACCAGGTAATTAAATTAATCCTGAAATCTGTTGTAATGGAAATTAGTTCTGCTCTTAACGCAAATTTTGTTTTACTCTGTAATACAAATAATTGTATTCTAGTTTATAATGCATTTTGAAAAATAGAAATTATACCCAAATCTCATAATGATGCATCATAATATAATGAATAGATATTTTCATTATAAGATTTTTTTAAAACAAAAATTGTAGGCATCATTTATTTTCCGCCATTATTAATCCTTTCTTAATTTTTGCATGTAAATTTTTGCACGTAAAATTGTTTTATATATGTAGGATGATTGTATATTCTGTTATCGAGAGAGTTTGTATTACTTGAAACAATACCTTCGTTCAATCCTACATCGATTTCTCATTCTTTAGCAAAATACAAAACAGGAAACTGCAGGTCAAAATAATTCATCGACTTCAGAGGCAGAAGTTGAAATTATTGAAACGAATCAGGACAATTCTATACCTAATTCTACACTCGACGAATGTCCAACTGTTACAAAAAAAGCAAGACTAGGCTTGCAATCAGGTAACAATAGCGAGAAGACAAATGATGTGCATGAAGACAATGTTACAAATACCGCAGGGATAAGTTCACAATCAAATGTTAAAACTTCATTGAAAAAAAGAAACTTTCGTGTTATTATAAATTAAGCGTTTGTACAAAAAGTAATTTGATATTAAATTTATTTATACTACAGTTTTTATGTTAATTGCTGCATTTTTTAAATTAGAAACAGAAAATAGAATTCTACTGAAAACAGGCTCAAGCTATATTTCTTTGTAATGGAATCTCTTCCTCAATTTTTATTCTTTTTTATCTATAATCCCACTACACAATTGGTTTTGCACCTGATGATATATTAAGTAAAAATGATCTTGTGTTTTTCATTCGTTTTCTTACTCTGTAACGTTGTATGGACATACGGTGAGAAAAACAGAATTTTAATTTAAAAAGGGAGGTTCCAGAATAGTAGCGGCAAATATAAATAATAAAGCTTTACTAATTTATTGACAACAATGAACTGTATTATTTTTCTACAGACAATTTATATGGCAGATGTGATATTTTAATTAATATATTTTGAATCTTCTATCAATAATAGTAATGGACATATTACACGAGTTCTGCTTTTTCGAAAGTAACACTACATGTGTAATATTAAAAAATTGTTTATATCTTCTTTATATTAATGATAGATGTCAATACACTGTGTTGTAACAAAATAATATGTATTAATCTAAAAACTATTTTTAATACAGAGTATATATATTTTGTGTCGATTTGCATCTGTAGTCATCTACCTCAAGCAAAATCTACATAGGATTCTCAATAGTGCACTTGTAATTCTGCACAATTAAGTTTCACATGTCTTTTCATTAATTAGCGTTTAATTTATTATGTGCCAAAAATATATCCAGAATATAAAATAATGTAAATTATGAAAAATATAGAGTGAGCTTTTAGAATGACGAATTATTCACTTCTCAAGGGATTAAGATGACCATTTTGATATATGTCTATAAACTTTTATTCAGTTTTCATAGGCGCTACATCATTTTCATACGTAAAGAGATAGACAAAAGGAATTCTGACGTCACATATGTATATATACACAGGATATCTCGCAGCAGGGCATGCCATTAAGTGTTACAAAACGCATTGGTTCTTATCAGTAGCAGTCGTGTTTTAACAATTGGATATTAATCGGAATACTCTCTTATATCCTAGGAACTGAAAAACGAGTACTTTGTACGTAAGACTAGTTTCGTTTTTCTACTCTTTCGTATTCTGCAATTGTAAATGCGAACGAATTCAAATTGTCATTCGAAGCGTCATCTAATGCATCAATATTTTTATACTCGTTTATATATTATTATCTTTTATTTAATTATAGCGTTATTGTACGTCAAGCGCCGGTACGAATGTACAAAACACACTTTGGCTCTCCAAACCAAGTTTCCGCTAAACTTGTAATATATTAAAAAATTGATTTAATTGCAATCGCCTCTTATTGTTACAATTAAGTATTTCAGGTTTGGTCAATATGGTAACTTGTGCAAAATTTTTTGTATAATATAATATAAACGTCTGTGAATTAGTAATATTGCGAGATAATAAAACCATATCGTCAGTTACCAATTATTGTTTTAAGTATGTACAAATATATGCTCCCTTAAAATTAAACTAATTTTAAAGCGATAGAATTACAAGCTACATACGTACAGTATCTCTTGTGTATTGCATTTAATTCGCTTAATAGTAATTACAAGTAGTAGTAACAATAACAATAAATAAAAAATATAATAAAACGCAAATGCTTATTTTCGAATCATATTTATATAGCTATACATATATCTATATATATACACATATATATATGTATGTATATATGTATATATTTAATAAACTCTGAGTCTTTTATTACAAATTGCAAATAAACAGAGTAGCAAAATCATTGTATGCTCGCGATACAAATGCCATTCTAAGAATGAATAACGGTACTTACTTGATTTCGTACACATGAAAATCTCTCATATGACTTTCGTATAATTCGTTCGTCGATTTTCGCGTCATCTTTCGATGCAAGTACCGTCTTATAAAACGCATAGATTTTCGAAATCGCACAACATTCAATTCTCCCTAAGATTACATTGTATACTAATGTCGAAGTATTAGTCCACAGTGTGTATGTGTATGTATGTGATTCAATTGCTCACATTTTCTTCACTGGATTCCTTAAACTCGTATTTTTTCTAACATCTGTGATACTTCTTGTTGGATCAGTTTATCGATTGACCCATCTCTTCACCGCTTCCGCCCAGTTAGCTTCATCTTCATCTTCCTTCTCACCGTCCGCCTCTTCTCTCTCGCCTCTCTCCTGCTCCTGTTCGCTGGACAATGTAGCCGACGGTGTTTGCGGTATGCAGTTACGAGATCTCAATTCTGCCAAAAAGTCATTCTCCTGCTGATAACGTCGTTGGAGTTCCTCTCGCCAGGAATTTCCACCGCCGCTACTATCATCGCCATCCTCGCCGGCTTCAAAGTCTATAAGTAGACGCGACTAGTTTCAAAATTCAGTCGCACAAATACTGAGATTATTATATTTGTTACTTTCAGCTCAAACGATAAAAGATAAAGTAGCATATCTATATTCGCTGAATTTAATTCCATTTCTCTTTCTCATTGTCTTCCCAAGTAGGTCTCTCAACTTCGAAGGTTTATGTAGTCGTATATTATCTGGTATTTGAACATATATAGACTTATAACTATAGACGAATAAGAATAATCATTTATGAAGATATACGACAAAAATCCGTAGAATAACTTATCTTAATATTATCGTCAGAAGTATACATCGTAGTTGTGTGCGTGATGCTTATGAAGATGAAAGAAATGTAGAGATATGTTATTAAATATGAATACGAGTATATATATTGTATGTACAAATATGTACAGTTTGATTTTTGCAAAATTAATGTTGAAAGTACCAAAGAAAAAATTAAACCGAAATATTAATATGAAACTCGTAGATAATTAGCGCTTGAAAAATTTAAGGATTGCTTCAATTAGAAGAGCAACATTGCGAAGATCTAAAGTGCAAACGAAAGTAAAAGTAATGAAAGTTTCAAAAGTCGATGTAGAGATACTTACCTAGTGGTTTTCTGATGTTCATTAGTCCTGAGTTGTGAGAATGGTCCTCCTGGTCTGAGTCTGCAAGCCACCAGGACACATTCACGGGGGGTGCATCACACACATTCCACAACACGTCTAAAGTGTCATTTGTATATTGTATATAGTATAATGGAATGTCTATTCGTCGCGATCAAATTCAATTAAGAAGGTATACATACAGTTTGTGTAATAAGAGCGTGATATAATTAAAAAATTGCTTTTTATAATAAAATGAAAAAAATTGCATATATATTATTTAATTAATGCTACGACGTTTTTATAATTTTAAGCTGTTTAGTCGTCGCCGTTATCGATAATTGGAATCTTCTGGGCATACTTTCTACTTGACAGATTATATTCTCAAGGTAAAGATCTCCATATCAAACTAACTTATCCAATTAATTGTTTCATCGTTTATATCTTTTTTCACGAAGCTTTAACTTTATTTTCAAACGTTCTCGATCGAATTCACTTCGGCCACTTTAACACTTCGATGCTATTTTCTTCTTTCCATCGGATGCAAAAACAACTTCGATGTTTCGAATCATCCAAAATATCTAAGTGGATAAAGTGTTAAATCCTTGCTTTGAGGGGCAGTCCTATTTTTACTGGCTATAACAATTCGTTAGAGAAGTCTGTTAATTAGAACATGGGAATAGACTAAGATAAGCCGATAGATTTTTTTAAAGTTATTTGCACGTAAAAAAATACAAATAAAGGAATTCAAATGCTTTCAAAGCAATCAATATTTTTTTCTTTTAGTCTCGAAGGTTGGTAGAAATTATGTCTACAATCTATTCATCCTCTTTCACCTTCCGTACGTTCCAGTAGATTATGATTGACAGTTTTTTGTTTCTTCAAACTGCTTAAGTCACTTACTTATATCTTTGACTTATTATGTATTTCGCAGTTGATTGTCGTGATATTTATGGTCCACTCAGATTCCAAGGATTTCACTTAATTATTCGACTTTTCGATGTAATGAACAGTTTTGCCGATCACGCTCTTGTTAGACAGACTGTATATGTCCTTATTCACATAGAAATATTTTTTTATAGTTTCGTCTCTATTTTTAATTATTTTTTTATAGTGTACCGCTTTCTTAAACTTAGGTAATTTTGAATTTCTAATTTTTTGTTTTACACTCATATCAAATTACGAGTTCGTTAGTTTAATAAATAATCCAATTCTCGAAGTTTTCTTAACAATTAATGTGTATTCGGAATTTCTTGGGATTGCGAATTAGATTGTTGTTGTCATCTGTGATCTTGCGTGTAATGTAGTCCGTGTGCTATTCCACTAGGCTAATATTAACTAACTCTATTCTAGAAAGAAAATAAATGAAACCGTAGAAACGGCAACAGGCAAATATACAGACTATTTTCCAACCGTTCAGACTAACTTTAGCATTTACACTCACTAACAGAAGTAATGAGGAAGGTTCGTATGCATACGGTTTGCATCTGGAGACGACGATTTGTAGCCTTCACTACTTGTATAAACTTTTCTCATCACTTTGTTCAGTAAAATGCTAAGTTGTCAAACGTTTTAGAAACAAACCGTATAAAGAAAATATACACAGTATCCCAAGGTTATTGCACTTTCTCTTGTGATCATTATATAAATATTAAAATATAAAATAAAATTTACAATCTTTAAAATCTCTTGAAAAAATAATAGTATTTTAAATATGATTAAAATTGAAGTTTAAATGTGCAAGTATAAATGACAAAGTTCTGTTAATAATTTTCAAATTTAAGTAAGAAAAATATTTTATATCTCGTTAAAATGACATAACTGCTGGAAGAAAGTGTAATAATTTTTAATAGGAGACCGTATGTATATTTCAATATTTACATCTTCTGGCTCGAAAAAGCTATATTTTCGTATATAATCATTATATTATTAAAAATTTGCATAAAAATGATATATAATGTAAAATATTGTGATATTAGAATCACTTATCTCAATATTTTAT